GATGTACGGTCCGGGTTCGGACGACGAGAATGTTGAGCCGGTGGGCAGGCAGGGCGCCAGTGGCGGGAAGCAGCCAGTCACGGAGCCTGCGGTGGTTCGCCGAGAAGTCCCGTGGAGCCGGTCTCCCGAAGTGCCGATGTACGGCGCGGGTTCGGACGACGAGAATGTTGAGCCGGTGGGCAAGCAGGGCGCCAGTGGCGGTCACAGCAGACGTTGCCGGCAGATGAGCGACAGCCGGTTGCGGCTGGAGTTGTTGTGCCGATTGCAGGAGTTGGATCAGGAGACGGGAGGCCCCGCGTCGGAGACGGGAGGCCCCGCGTCGGAGGCGGGAGGGAGTGAGTATGGGTATGAGGAGGTGTTGGAGGAGGAGGAGTACAACGGTGGGGGTAGACGACGGTCGGAGGGGAGTCAGTCAGCGGGGAGTTGGACGTTAGCTCCGGGCGAGAAGACGCCGTGGACGGCAGCACCGGGTCCGGTGGAGCTGTCGAATCTGGAGCAGTTGCCAGTGCGTGAGGCCGTTGTGGATGCGTGGTTTGAATTCATGGCTGGCATGCGCGACTTTATGGGATCGCTTAGCGCGACGTCGGTCCTAGCCTCTAAGTGCGGTTATGATATGGTGCGAGAGCGGCTCGACAACTGGGTAACGCAACGTGGCTCCTATTCCGCCGGTGGCCGATTGCAAGGTACGTGTGTGCTGGATCCCGGTCGCCTGAGTAAAGCCGACCGCACAGTGCTCGCCAGTCAGGGCGCACATGCCGAACGTATGCTCCACATGGTGGTGGACGCCGTCTTCAACGACATTCGCGGGAACACCACCAGCATCTCAGCCGTCGGCTCTGCCGCGTATGCACGTATGCGTAAGGCCCGACGGGCCCTTACTGACGCACTCCGACGCCGTGACGGCCGCTGCTGTCTCCTCAATCCGATACTTACAGACGACATTGAAGATGTCGTCTGCCGGCTTTCCAGGGTCCTCGGCATCGATCCCTACACCAGTCCCCAAGGCACCGCCCGTCGCAGACGAGACCACTCGCAACCCCTCGATGACTCTACCGTCAATGACACAACCGGCGATCCGGAGCCCGGCGATCCGGAGTCCGGCGATCGGGAGTCCGGTACTCCGGAGCCAGAGGAGTCGCCCGGTAACTTGCCGCGTCGGGTCTCCCGGAAGACGGCAACGGCCGATTGGGTAAGGGAGGCTGCGAAGAAACCACAAACTAAACCTCGTCGGGCGTCTCTTGACCGGTCGGGCTTCGAGCGAGCTGTCCGGAAGGAGTCGAGCCTCGAGCGGAGCCTCGAGCGACAGAATTTCGAATGGTCGAGCCTCGAGAGGCCGGGTGGAAAAAAGGCTTCACACGACGCGTCGTGGAGCAGCCAGCCAGTCACACGCGTGATGGTTGGTTGGCATCGGCGGGACGACTTAAGTGGACACTGGCGCAATAAGGAGTGGCGATTAAGACAGCGACGTGAGCACCTGGACATACTGGAGCGACTGGACTTGCCCTGGAACCCGGACGGTAGTGTGTCTGGCGACCTACGAGTGGGTTTCCGTGATTGGGCTCGCCGGCTGGACGAACGAATGCAGCCGGAGGTCTTGGAGTCCAAAGTTCACAGCCCGCAAAACTGGTTCGACCAAATCACGGATGTGGCGGCCGACCGGTCAGGCGACTGGTCAGTCAACGTGGGTACTTATGTAGAATTGGTACTGGGCTTTACGTCGCCACCGGACAATAACTCGTTCCACGAAACAATCATGCACGTAGTGACGAGCGATGGCCAAAAGATGGTGCGCCGTCTCGAACGGGCGATTACGCAAAGTGTGCTGGAGGAGTGGGACGATCTTACGGTCGAGACGGCAGCCCTCGCCTATGGTGGCATTGAGTACTGCTCAGAAGAAACGGTGCGCATCTTGGTTGATAGGTGGACTGAGAAACTGATGTTCCTCGTTGAGAGTTGGAGCGATGCTTTTCCCACCAGACACAGACGTGGTAGCGTGGCGGAGACGTTGGATATGCTCGACGTCATCATTGACGACGCTAAAGACGAAATAGACATCTTGGCGCAACGCGTTCACCCACGAATATACCAAGCAGTCTACCCACTCCTAAACCGAGTCGAACTCGCCTTTGACATCTTCCAGCGTTTCTACCAAGCATACCTTCAGCCCCCAGCACAGAGGGCACAAAGGCAACATGCACACAAGCGACCCAAGTCTACCGGCAGATCCAAGGGACAGAGCGTTACAACGGAACACGGCGGCACAGCGGAACACAGCGGCACAGCGGAACAAAGTGTCAGCAACCAATCTGACCACGCGGCTGGCAACAGCCAATCGGGCAGCCAGCCAAGTAGCCTTACAGGTACCCCGCCCGACAGCCAGTCAGGCAGTCAACCCAACAGCCTTACAGGTACCCCGCCCGACAGCCAGTCAGGTAGTCAACCCAACAGCCTTACAGGTACCCCGCCCGACAGCCAATCGGGCAGTCAACCCAACAGCCTTACAGGTACCCCGCCCGACAGCCAGTCAGGCAGTCAACCTCCCAGTCTGACATATACCGTCGCAGACAGTCAAGTAGACAGTCCGCCGGATAGCCGGACGAGCAGCCCGACAGGTGCTCAAGCTGGTACCCCTCCGGGGAGCCAGCCAAGCAGTCTGACAGGTGGTCAATTTGCCACGACATCCGAGAGCCGCCCAAGCAGCATGACAGGCCGCCAATCGGGCAGCCAACCAGGACCGTCTGTCGCTACCTCAGTTAGTCCCCAAGTTAGTTCACCTGACAGCCAGCCCGTCAGCTTGATAGGTGACAAAGCAGCTGAACACTTGGACAAGCCGCCGCCGGCGGATGAAAGGTACGCTCGCATAGTTGATGAAGCGTTCTCTCGACTGGCTGGCAACGAGTCTCGATATCGCAGGGAGGTCAGGGAAACGGAGTCGTCGTTCGTGACCGACACTAAAGTGTCCCGTCAGGTTGCTGATGAGTTTTCAAGCACCACGAAAATTTCCAAGTATTCGGATACGGCCTTTAAAACAGTCAAAGAAACTACCACAAAAGTCAGGGAGCTCAACACTGGTCCTACTCGCCTGCCAGTGATCCACATTGAGACCTTGGAAGCCCCCCAACCACGGAACAAGCCGAAAAAGGTTTTCAAGAAGACAGACACTCTCGTGTCGGGAAGTAGCACCTCCCCGCCATTGCTGCGCTAGCTGGCAAAAATCCCTGAACGATCCATCTCGTCTTCACCCGGCGTTTGTTTCTCTTTCCCTTACTATTTTTTCGACCATGGCCATCGAACGTACTTTCGTCGCAGTGAAACCCGATGGGGTTCGGCGTGGATTAATCTCCGAGGTGATGAAACGCTACCAGGTATTCAGCACGGGGTTTCGTGTGCACTGACACCGCTGACACACACTGCCTGTTTGTTCGTCGCGTGTATGATGACACCGTTACCGTTGTTAACGTTACCGTTGTAGAACCGTGGGTATGTACTGTGTGGCGCGAAGTTGGTCATGCCAAGTGATGCTCTGGTGCGGGAGCACTACAAGGAGCACGAAGGGAAGCCGTTCCTGCCCGGCCTGCTAGCGTATGTTGGTGAAGGCCCAGTGTTCGCTATGGCTTGGGAAGGAGAGAACGTCATTGATCAGTCTAGAAAACTTATCGGCGCGACCAAGCCTGGAGATGCTGAACTCGGAACCATTCGTGGGGACTTCGCCCAAGTTATGGAAAGAAACATTGTGCACTCGTCAGACTCGAAAGAGTCTGCAGAGCGAGAAATAAATCTCTGGTTCAAGCCGGAGGAGCTGTGCAAGTACAACATAGCGGCCTCTCCGTTCATCAGAGCTTAAGTCTTTTTTTTGACACACACTGACACCTTCGTTAAAAATTCCTCCGCCTCCTTTTGCCCCATGGCGGCGTGTGCATCTGGACCAGCACTCAGCCAGACCCTTCGTCGGGGCTGGGATTGACAGTTTGGGGTTGACAGTTTTGGTCGGGAATAATTAAATAGTTTTTAGGATGTACGCTTCGAGAAATGAATACGATCGAGGCGTCAATACATTTTCCCCTGAGGGCAGACTGTTTCAAGTAGAATATGCTCTGGGAGCCGTTAATGTAGACACACACAACATCGACACAGCCCGACACATATATGCCCACAACATGTGTGCAAACACGTGTGTTTTAGTTGGGGGCGACAGCGATTGGTATTCGAACGTCAGAGGGAGTCGTGTTGGCGACAGAAAAGCGTCTGGGGTCAAAGTTGATCGAGGAGACGGAAGACTTGAAGAAGGTGGTGGAAATTGACAAGCATATAGCGTGTGCGAGTGCGGGTATAATTGCAGACTCCCGAACGTTGATTGACCGTGGTCGGTCGGACGCGGCGAACTATTGGTTCGTATACGGCCAGCCTGTGCCGGTGGAGAGTTGCGTGAACTCGATTGCGGCGTTCATGTTGGACTTTAGTGGTGTGAACACAAATCGCAAGAAGGTAGTTTCCCGACCGTTCGGTGTCTCACTATTGGTAGGAGGCGTAGACAAACAGGCAGGACCTTCCCTTTGGTGCTGCGACCCATCAGGCAGCACAGTCCAATACCAAGCCGTCGCCATCGGCAGCGGACATGAAGGCGCAGATTCGAAGCTACAGGAGAACTACAAACCCGATATGACACTCGACCAGGCCGTTTCGCTGGCCCTCCTCGTACTCAGACAGGTCATGGAGGACCGTATGACCGCCAAGAACGTCGAGGTCTCACTCGTGCCTGCCGACAAGGCCAAGGTACACGCAATGACCGAACTTGAAATTGAAAACGCAATGGCTGGACTCCCCGCTGCCCAAGACTGGGAACGCATGAGAGGCGTGTAAGCAACGAGAGGTAGGCGATGAGAGGTGGTGAGTATGATAGATGGTTTGTTTGGCGCGTGGGTGTTCAGAAGTGTTTTTCGTCGTCTCGGGGAAGAGGCAAAAGCAGCGGAAAGCAAACGACCTGTCCCACGACGGAGACCGTGTTTTTGACCACATTCTCGTTTTCGTCGCCGTTCTCCTGTGCGGCCCAGGAGATAGGTGTACCCGTGATGAGGTCGTTGAAGGGCAGTTCCGTAAAGAGTCGTGGAGTGGCTTCGCTTGACAGAGGCGGGGTTTTACTAAAGCGCTTTTTCTTCCGTAGCCGTTCTTGGTCACTACCGACACTGTCCGTAGGTGGCGTAGCAGGCGTAGAGCGCTTCTTCCAACTCTCCGTACTCAGCGAGAGCAGGGTGTCAAAAGTTGGTCCCAGGGTATTTTTCGGATCCGGTGGCGGGTCACCTTCTAGACCAAGACTAAGTAACAGACCCCGTTGGGAATCACTTAGATGGGACAAGAAATCTTTTTTGTACCGAATCATGGTCCGTCGCTGCTTCCACTCATTCTTATACCGAACCCACCACAAGTCGTGGTCTCGGTTTTTCTGACTCTCGCATCGAGCTACCATTGTGCCGTAACACCACTGCAACTTCAGATTAGCTCGGCATTTCGATGATCCTTTTCTGGTCTGCAAACATAAGGTCATTTAACCCCCAGCCCCAGACCCAGACCCCCCTCACCCCCCCCCCCCCCAGCCCCAGACCCCCCCGATGTATGGTCCACCCCAGCCCCAGCCCCAGACCCATATGTACGGAGCTTGGTACCCAGCTTACCAGACAAAAAACATCCAATAACGGAAGAACGTGTTTATTACTGCATTTTAGAGCATATTTGTGAAGTTTCCTGGCATTGGTGGCACCTATCATTGTGTTAAAGATATATAGGTATAGGACACACGAGCATAATGGACATAAAGGCACGTCAAAATGATGTGGGCTTTCTAGTTCCTGAAAATTCCTTTCACATATATATCGAATCTTCATCTCGCCAATGTGCCGGTGAGGTTTCCAAACAGTTAATCCGAGCCCTTCTTCTTTGCACCTGAATATGTTTGCCATCTCTTGGTTAATGTACATACCTTGGGCAAGTGTCTAATGGTTGACCCATAACACATATTGACTCTCTTGCCGGTTGTGAGTAATTCAATTTGGATGTGGCGCAATCGGATAAACTCCATAATTGATGCTCCCCGAAAGGCTCCTCTTTAATTTGTTGCATTTAATCTGAGCATAGGGCATGCATCTGGAAATTCTCCTACCGAATTTGACGCCCCCACACACGTGTGCTGCCTTGTTTTCCCAAACCGGGACAAAGCTTATTAATTAATGATACGAATCACCGATGATGAAGATATAGTATTTGAAGAAAACCCGTCCCTGTCTGTCCCCAGCAAGGTCCACACCAGTCAGCCAAACAAGGTCAAGAAAGACCTAACTACAAAAGAATCAGTTAACCTTCCTGGAGTTGTGTATCGCAGTAAAACCGGACATAAAATCACTCGGCAAGAGTACCTTAAGGAACGAGGACTAAACGAGAACTTTGAAAAGTCCAGGAGACAATCAAAAAAAAATGTCATCCACGAGAAGGACCTTGAATGGGGAGGGGGCCTGGTGCAAAAGAGAGAAATACAAAAGATTAGAAAACAACAAGAGGACACCATTGCCGAATCTCTTCACAGGTTTGTCCTAACACTGTCCGCCTACAAGCAAGCACCCCCCAACAGCAGACACTGACGGTCAACATATACCCCCCATCGATAAGACTGGTGACGAGGTTGGCCTTCTTGTCAGGTCTCGCCGCGGCCCTTACCGGGCGTAGGCCGCGCACACTTTCCACCACACACGAGCTCGAAATAAAGAATTCGGAGCCAGAGACTCCGAAGACCCAGATCCCGCAACCCCCGTCACGCTCTTGTTTCTATCCAGGAATCGTCACTTGGTAAAATATCTCCCGCCTCAGTACCGAGATCGTGGGCTCGTTAGACGCCGAGTTGCGGCAAGCCGTAAGACTGGATGACCCCTTATTGCAGATGAAGAGACTGGAGCAAGCCCTGTTTCCTGAGTCGTCCAGTCTTGAAGCGGGGATTCCTTCTCGAGGTTTGGCGGGAACCGCAGATTTGGCGGGCAGTAGATGCCCGTTCCCGACGCCTCCAAACCGGTTCGGTGTTCAGGCAGGATCTCATTGGGATGGCCGGGTGCGTGGCACTGGCTTTGAACAGAAGATTCTGGAAGCGGTAAGCAGTCCATTTTTCTCGTAACGTTCTTTTCGTAGATTAACGAGGCGAGAGCAAGAGTGAATCCCTAGAAAATCACTGCCCCCTAGCTGGTCCCCTTGTTTTGACTGGTTCCGTAGCCTAGCGTAGCCTAGCCTAGCCTGGCCTGTCTCGTCTTGCTCTCTAGCCTCGTCTTGTTGCTAAACTCGTCGGGAGATGATGAGACCCCGCCAAGCGCTTGAGAGCGGCACGCAGCTTCAAGAAACAGATTGGAACATCCGCAACGGGCCGAACTACCGTGGCTACAGGCCTTGTAAGTGTCCCCTTTCCTCTCCCGGCCGAGTTACCACCCCTCCCGCCTACAAGCCTCGGTCCTCGGCACTATCCTGCTTTGTCAACTCATAGAGATGCTGTGTAGATTGTGTCTCGGTGCCAGAGCAGTTTTATGACATAGCCCTCGTCTTCCCGGATGAGAGAGCAGCAGCCCGGCCGCAGTCTTGTCGTGATGATGATGATGAGTTGGTAGATTCGCAATTGCGCAGCTATTTGGTAGGAGTGTCTCGTGGGATGTTAGCGGCAAGTGCGTTGACATGTTCTACTACTCCTCCGAGGTCCCAGTATCGACCGACTGTTCGTTCTGGAGGGGAACATGTGATTGAGATGTCTGCGGCAAGGAGAGGTACGGATTCGCGCCCAGGGAGTGCGGCTGACGAAGAAAATGTTCGTCATCCGTTTCTAGAGATATTGTATGCTGCACCAAACAAAGGCGATCGTAACGGAGGTGGGAGATTGGCTGGGGCAAAATGTATGACTATTCAACAACTGGAATTCATGATTCGGACAACCATGTTATCGATGTTAGAGTCAATTGGATGTTTTGTGACACTGGATGTTAGAGCGAATGAAACGGGAGTAAGTGAATATCATTGTAAGGTTCGCTTGACTGATGAAGCATGTAAAATTCTGGCTGCCAAATATGAATACCCACTCCGTTTAAAGAGCCGAGAATGGATTCAGCAGCAAATGGAAGAGCTCATTGTCGACAGGGAAGAGCTGGCTGAAGATGGGGAATTACTAGTGCCGTTCTCGTTTGACGTCCCTGAGGAAGACTGGGTACACTATGACGGCCTTGGCAGAAGCATGAAGGTCACCGGAGACACCCGCAGCGGCTCTCTGTTTCGGGACATTGACCGCATTCGTCTGTTAACATGGGAATTGGAAAAATTTATTGACATCGATCAAATTCTTACAGAACACACGTTTCGTACCAATGGCCGAAAGGTGAAGGTGAGAGGCCTGAAGGACTTTTACAATCTACACAAGAGATATACCCAGACGTACATTACTGGTGCCGTCGATGACAATGCTGTTGTGGCTACTTATTTTGGCGAACGGATAGGTCTATACTTCGAATGGATGGCGCTGATCTCTTCGGCATACCGCTATCCAGCACTCTTAGGTAGCTTGTTATTTATCATCAATGAAATAGTTCTTCCTCTTGCACGTATGCCGGTACTACGGCTAGTCTTTAGTTCCACATATTTGCTTTACCTCGTTCTCTGGACGGAGAAACTCTTGAGCGACTGGAAACAGGTCCAAAGGAGATTTAGCGCGACACACATTTACGAGGAGGGCCACGCCTACGGCGGTGCATGCCACAATAGATCGGGACCAACGCGTTCAGGACCAACGCGTTCAGGACCAACGCGTTCAGGACCAACGCGTTCAGGACCAATGGGGGAATTACCGCGTATGGAGAAGCGACCAGGAGGGCAAAGCCTAGGTCCAAGAAGGTCGGGGATCGGGGCCAAAGGTATAACCGCTAATCGAACACTTGGGTCCTTCTGTACCCTGTGGATCTTCGTTTCTCTAATTGTTTGCTTGACAGTATCTTTCTATCTACGAGAGCTCGCATTTAATTCCACGTTCCGATTGTCTTACCAAGACACGAAGGTGATTGAGTTTGACATAATGGCACTGGCAAGCGTGCTTCAGTCTCTACTGGTCGTGTTCTTTGACCTCCTGTGGGCCTGGATTGTGAAGCGTTCGTATAGCAACCATTCTCTCTGCGTCAAGACCGTTCTATTCAAGTCTCTGAACCATTTCCTTCCGCTCTTCTACTCTGCACTGGTTCATCCAACGGAGATATCACCATACGAAACGTTTCAAACACAATTGATAATGCAGTTTGGTCTCATCATAGTCGCCGATGTCACGGAGGTTGCAGTTCCCTACCTCACACTCGTCTACAAAAGAAGCTCTTGTCGAAGAGCTAAACCCACTGCTGAAGCCGAACGACTCCTTTCGCCTTCCATTCCATCCGGAGTTCAACCACAACAGCCGTTTCGAGCTACCGTCACTCCCCCGGGCATCGGGCCCATCAGATTCACGGCCGAGGAAGCGGAATATCTCATGGGACACTATGACGAAACTAATTTGGCAGACGATTACTTGGAAGCGGTCATACAATTCACGCACCTTCTCTTCTTCAGTCCCTGCTGCCCTGTTATCGCCCTCTTCACCCTTCTTAGACACAACATTGAGATATATACAGACAAGATCAAACTATGCCGACTCTTCAAAAGATCATGCCTGATGTACGCAGATGACCAAATATACACGAACATACTCCGCATCATATCAATCCTAGCCCTGCCCACATCGCTATCAATGCTACTATACTTCGATCCGGTTCTGACATTCAAACAAAAACTTATCACATTTATCGTAAGCACTCACGTGCACCACTGTTGATCATCGCACATGTATTGTACCTTCTGCCCTTCCAACGCCGTGCCTACATCTTTGTCGCAGATACTCGAGTACATGATGGTCTCCGTGAGACTGTACTTCCATTTTCTACGCTGATAAGGTGTGTGCGCGCTGATAGCACACGTGTGCGGCAACTACAGGCCGCAAACATCGGCATGTGAGAACAGGCAGAAATACGACAGACAAGGGAAGAAATGAGGCAGAGAGATAGGAAAAAGACGGTTGGCGGAGGCTGCCGCCCATAACAATGATCTAAGTTCCAAGGAAAAGGGATAAATAAGGAATTAACGGCGGTGCTTTGCACCAGCCCCTTGGTTCAGTTTTTCGGTGACGACAACGTCACCGTTCTTGCCGAGCTCGCCGCTCTTGGGAGCCGAGGGTTGGGCAGAGACGGGGGCCGGGGCGGCGGGAGCCGCAGCAGCGGGAGCCGCAGCAGCGGGAGCGACCGCTCCGTCGGCGGGGATGGCCGCTCCCTCCGCAGCCGGCGCTCCCTCCGTGGCGACCGGTTTGATCTCTTCAGTGGTGGTGGTTCGGATCTCTGCTGGCTGAACAACGGTGGTCGTGGCGTTCAGTCCGGTTTCAATCTCCGTTGCGGGCCGGGTGGTGGTTGTCACGCGGGTAGCGGTCGCATGGCGTTTCTTGTGGCCGTAAACCCAGAGTCCGGCGATGATTCCAATGACGGCCAAGGCAGCCAAAGCGATCAGGAGTCCCTTCCACCATTTGTACCAGCCATCATCACCATCGTCCTCTTCTTCTTTCTGTACCGTTCTGACTGGAGTGGTGCTCTTCTGTGTTGCTTTCCCAACGCTCGTTGCGGGGGTGTTAGCCGTTGCCGAGCCAGAGACCGATTTTACGGGGGTACCGGCGCTGCCGCTGACCGATTTGACTGGAGTTTGGGCAGCCGCGTTTTTCTTGGCAGTGGCTTGAAGGTTACCGACTTTCTTCGCCGGCGTATTCGCTGTTTTCTGCGATGCCTTTTTCGCTTTTGCGCCAGCCACCGTGGTGCTAACCGCCTTTGTGGGGGTGTTGGCCTTTGTGGCCGCTGCCGGCGCCTTGGTGGGTGCGTTAGCCGTAGGCTTGGCCCTCGTGGTCGCCGCCGGAGCCTTCGTGGTCGTAGCCACTCTCTTCTTCTTGACCGTGATCAATCTCTCCGAGCCGTCCGGTTTCCGTACATGGTGCTGCTCAGTGTAAAACTCAGGCGCCGCGTACGCCGGTAACACAGCCGCCAACAATACACATGTGACAAACGGAGAAACTCTCATGAACCTGCACCTTGCCCACGTGCACTAGCAGACTACATGCGCTACCATGCGGCAATCACGTATAACAACTCTGTCTCCCACTTCTGTCTCGTTTATACGAGACAGAGTCCTCCCAACGCCTTTACCGACTGGTTATCACCTTACCCACTAGTCACCTTTAGTAGATCGTTTACCTTAATCCGTTCGTGAGCGGCCTCCACCAGTGAATCTCCTCCACCAGTGAAGGTCCTCCACCAGTGAATCTCCTCCACCAGTGAAGGTCCTCCACCAGTGAAGGTCCTCCACCAGTGAAGGTCCTCCACCAATGAAGGTCTTCCACCAGTGAAGGTCCTCCACCAGTGAAGGGTCGTGGCTATTTTCCAGGCAGTAAGCATTGGGGATTCAATTTGGGTGATTTAAACCGATTTTCAGGACTGGCAAAATTGTGAACATATTTGTGAATGCGTAAACCATCTCAAATAGACCTGTCACGTCTTAAGATCGATCACAAGGAACAAGTCATTAGTAACCATGTTTGCCAAGACAAGCGGGAGGTTTTATACGTACCTCATTTACTGGCATCTCAAAATCAACCTGTCAATCAGGATGACAGACGAACTGTTCCTGCTTTGAAAACCGTAACACTAGGGAAGTGGCGTCCCGTAGAAGAAGATGCCAGCGTGGTCCTATCTTACAGTAAGATCACGCATCCATTATACAATGCCATCATACAATGCCATTATACAATGCCATAATGACACACTCCCGTGATGATTCCCTCCCATGATGACTGACTGGCTCTCTTTAGATCATGAAGGATCGAAAACCGAGGTTCGAGTAAGCAAGTCACACTGTGTAACACAGCGGGATTGTGTAGCGTTGAGGGCACAGTGTATGCATATATGAGAGGTGCCCAGCCGTAAAGAGTGCCTGGGCGGGCGCTCTTGTGCGTGCGTGGGTGGGTGGATGCTCTTGTGAGTGCGTGGGTGGGTGGATGCTCTTGTGAGTGCGTGGGTGGGTGCTCTTGTGCGTGGGTGCTCTGCTGACAAACGTGTGCCGGCAAACGATTGCGCTGGAGCGCAGGTTTCGAGGTAGGTGTCTTTAGAAATCGATTCCAATTGCGGCGGCATCGCAATCGTCCACTCCGAGTCATGTGATTGTGAGCACGCCGGTGGTGGACGAACCGGTGTCCTTCTCTCCCAGTGTCGACCTGCAACAATCCGGCTCGGGCAACGACTTTGCGAGCGGGAAGAGGAAGAACGTGACCCGAAACATCATCAGCTCGATCGTGAGTCTTTTCACTCCAGTTAAGGATAAGGAGAGTCCGCTACCGGAAGGCCAACAAATCAACTTGCCTAGTGCCGACCGACCGAATGTCGATCGACTTGAGCTAACAGGCGTTCTACGGGGCGAAGGAGCGGATATAGTTCACTCAGGACCAGGTGGAAGCACTCAGACACTTTCTCAAGGTGTTCGAGGCGGGGCTGTGGGCAATGCGCTGGAGCCGTGTCGCAATGGCGGGTCTTTACGATGCCCGTCTAACCTGATATCGAGAAACCTGTCGGGAGAAGTGCCCCGAGAGTTGCCCAAAGGTGAGGAAGTGGGCTGGGTCAACCACTCTTTTGCAGGACGGTCGTTGAGCGACTTTTCAGTTGAGGGCTACGGCAGTCGAGGTCCCGGAGCAGAACTTGGTAACAGTCTCCTCGACACTGAGACCGAGAGCGATGAGACCATGGGCGCTGGAGCCATGGGTGATGGGACTCAGAGCGATGGCACAGTGAGCGACGGGAATGACCATACTGAGCGCGGGCCGCACTTCGATTGCAGGCCGCCGAACTCGAACTTTTACAACGGTTCTGGGGGTCGACTCGACCCCCAGTCGTCCCTCGTGGATTACCAGATGCTATCCGGCCATACGGAGCTGGACCCCGAGACGAAGAGGAGCCAGCGACGGAACCTGCCTTCGTCGATGCCTGGAGACTCACGCCTTGACTGTGGCGCGTCAGAGACGACGTCGAGCCCCGCCTCCTCTCAGTCGACGGCTGGCCGTCCTTCTGGCCCGTCTCCTTCTCTTGTGCCCGGTGGCCTTCCGAGTGACCTCACCATGAACGCTGCGAGTAATTCGACCACCGGCTACGTTCCGGGGGGGAAGCAACAGGTAGAGCTGCCAAGAGCAGCTCCGTTCAAGAAGTCGATCAGTTACATGCCGTCGTTTACACGGAATTGGCCGAATTTGAGTCGCACAGTACAAGTTGCGTCTCCAGCCTTAACCTCGGTTGGACGTGCGCCAGAAAAGGGCGTGCCCGTGGTCAGTGCCGTCCCTGGCTTGCCGAGCCTGGCTACGGGTGGGCGAGAGGCCCCAGTCGCCAGTGGGGTGTCTTCCGTACTGCAGGAGAGCTCTTTGAATCTGCCAGAAGTTGAGCCAGAAACCAACTCCCTGGCGGAGAATGCCCCGCTCGGGGACGCTGGATCGGAAGCGGGATTCGAACGCGCCACGAGCCCGAGGGTGCTGTGGGCCAAGTTCCATGATGCCGAGGTTGTCAATGCCAGGAAAAAACAGGAGCCTGACAAACAGGAACAAGCGGAAGAACAACCTGAGAGACAGGAACAAGGGGCAGAGAAACGGGAGCCGCTACATCAGGAGTTGGAGGGTCGGCAAGTGCCTCCAAAGAGGCAGGGAGCGACTTTCTCTGAGCACGAGGAAACGTCTGGTGGAGAACTTCCAGCGGTGTATCCCGGAGAAGCGCCGGGTAGGCACTTCTGGAAGAGGTTCCGTCCGGCAGCTAAGGGCTCCTCTAGTTCGTTAGCCCGAGCGTACAGCGATAGCTCGACAGGCAGTCAGTCGGCCAGAAGCCAGTCGAGTAACAAGCCTGGAGGAAGTCTCTCCGGCAGCGGATCGGAATCCCTGCACTCGTCCGCCTCCGTGACTCCCCAGAGCTCCGTTACTTCGCAGAATTCTGGAACCTTATCCCTCGTCCCAGGTCAACCCGGTGCGGGTCAGCCCCGATTCGCGAGCAAAGAACCGGAGTCCGTCTACGAGTCGGACTTCCCGCCCATTTCGGAGGACGCCGAGAGCTTTCTTCAGGATGCCGCTGCAGAGCCGGCTTCGCAGGTCTGGAGGGGTCTCGTTACGAGGTGGAAGATGTCCAGTACAGATGGTAGTCCTACGCACTCTGGCGGAGCCCAGTCGATCGGAGTACAATCCGGGGGAGCGCATACTGACAGTGCTGATGAAGGAAGCAGTGACCCCGAACACCCTTTGAACGTCGACTCGGGCCGCCCCTACGACGGTGGCGATATCGCAGCGGGCGAGAGTCCCGCTAAACTATGTGCACGGTCCTCAGGTCGAGCCTTGCAAAACTCCATTAGAGTAGATGAACCGGACGCATCCGTCGAGAAGGGTACAAAGAGCCTTGACAACGCAGCTTCTATTCCTGGCGGTGCAGCTACTCCTGGCGATGCAACTACCACTAGTGACGCAGCCACTACCACTGGCGATCCAGCCGCAGGTAATGTTGTTACACCCGGCAATAGAGCTATTACCCGTGCTGATGCAAGCACACCTGACAATGCAGTTACTACTCCCGGCGATACAGTTACTGCTCCTGGCAATCTAGCAACCTCTGGCAGTATTGCTATCCCTAGCGATTTACCTGCCCTTGCCGATGTGGCCGGCGGTGAAAATGCTTTGGTCTCAGGTGCGGAAGACCGAGTACCGCGACGGAAAGATTCTGAAGGCGGCAGTGCCTGGAAGGGGGTGTTCGCCAGGTTCAAGAAGAACCGAAAGGGAAAGTCAAAGAGCGCAAAGCCCGATGCTCGAGGGGCTTCTCCCCGAATGCTCAAGAATCCGAGTTTGGTACCGAAAACGGATGATGCTGGCGGACTGCGAGTTGCTGCCAGTCCCCCTTCTGAATTTTTACGTAGTGGGGCAGGAGACTCCGTCGAGGAGCTGGTTGCTTTCCCAGGGGATAGCGTCACAGTGCCGGCGGCCGCAGTGCCAGTATGGGAGCCAGCTGAGGGTTCCAGATCCGGCGCAGATCTAACGAGTTGTGGTGCGAAGCATGATACTCCCATTACAGATTCTGCTCCGGTAGATCTCTCTGAAGCTGGGGCAGATCAAGCTGTCTGCGACGTGCCGATCAGCAGTGCTGCAGATGAATCTCTTGGTGATGGCAGAGTGGAGCCAGTTGAAGGCTCTATGGCATGCGCAGAGCTTCCTAAACCGCCAGAATGTGGCATTCCGACAACGGACGATGCTCCGACTGCCATCACGTTCCTGGATCATCCGGCGAAGGATCCAGATACATCGAGTGTGGGATCACCAGTCCGTGATGGAGAAATTGTGTATACGTCGGTTGAGCACACAGATCTTCCCGGCGCAGATCTTCCTACACCGACGAAGCATGACGCGCTAACTACGAATGATCATCTAACGATATCCCCGATTCAGAAGCGTGGCGGATCAGGTGTGGTCAAACTTGGTGGTGAAGGCGAAGTTGTCAAACCTGCCGAAATGCAGCGGAAGTCCGCTGAAGGCTCAGTTCCCGGCGGAGACGTTTCGAACCCTGATGCTACAGGTGCTCCTCTGATACCCTCCTCGATTGCGACACCTGATGGTAAGGGCTATCCGCCAGCCGACGAGGGCTCCATACATAAGCCAGCCGACGAGGGCTCCTTACACAAGCCAGCCGACGAGGGCTCCTTGCACAAAGACGCGGTCGAGGAACCCTCTGCCGACGGCAACGATGCAGTGTGCAATGTACCGAGCGGTTCAGTAGACATGCGGACAACCGAAGCGGATCAGGATGCTTATTGGCCCACAAGGGATCCGATTGTGCATGCATCGAGTGTGGGGGCACCAGATCGCGATGGAGAAGCTGAGCGTAAACTAGTCGAGTACTCTATTCCTCCCACGGGTCTCTCCTTGCCTGTGGAGCAGATCACTCCCACCAAAGACGAGATCCCGACTGCTGGCACAACTCAGAAGGCTGCCCGTGAGGGCTCGTTGCAGGATGAGACTGTTGCAGGACCCACTGCCGACGGCGCTCCTCTTTTGTCCCACCCGGTGCAGCCATTTGACGGCGAAGGTTCTTTAAACGAGGAGACTGTTGATCGACCCGCTGCCGACGACGCTCCTCTTGTCTCTTATCCGGTGCGGCCGTTTGACGGTGAAGACTCTTCAAACGAGGAGACTACCGACCGACCCGACGTGCCGAACCGTCACGAGGAATCCGACGTGCCGATTCATGCTGATGCAGGTATGCCGCCAACCGAGTCGTTCCGAACTACCGACATTCCTGACGCCGATGGCTTGGTCGAGGTTCGTGAGAAACCAGACGTAGGCAAGTGTGCT